ATTTTTTTATCTTATAATATATATATATATATATATATATATATATATATATTAGAATGAGATGAACGAATGATTATCAATGTCTTCTTTATATATAGCATTTTAATACATATATTGAATTATTGATATAATTAAATAGATTAACTATTCAAGTATGAGTAATTTTTCCTTAAATTTTGAAATTTTTAGCGTATCATGAATTTGATTTAATATATTAATTTTTAATTATTATTTAGAGATAAACTTTATGTAGATTCAATGGGTAACAACTTCCCACAAATAAAAATACATACTAGCAAATTAGGTTACGACGGGGCGGGGCGGACCTGCCCCGCATGGGGCGGGGCGAGTCATGGGTCAACAAGTTTGGACCCGTGCAGGTCATGGGGCAGGGCGGACCCACCTCGCCAAGTCACGAGGCGGGTCCGGGTCTTGCAGTACCCGCCCCGACCCATTGTCATGCCTAAAAGAAGCAGAAGCGGGAATGTTTGGGGTGAAAGTGCAGAAGTATTCTGGTGCTCTAATTTACTCCTAGAATCAGTTTTCAGAAGCTGGTTACCTCCAGCTTCTAAAAAAACTTATTCTGATTCTGCTTCTGCTTTAAAAAAGAAGCAGAAACGGAACCAGTTCCAAACACCCCATTAATACCTCAGTTGAAAATAGCATGATTAGCAGAAATGTTGTCAATAGAAATATAAATGATGTGCAACATTTGAATAACATTCTAGTTTTACTCAAAATCTTGATTTTAGATCCTTTGGTAATTTGATTGATAATCCAAAAACATGCACATAAGATCCAAAGAAATCCAAAGAACATGTTATATTATTTGTAGCTCCTATATCATGATTGAAAATACTTTGGGTAATTTGATTGATAATCCAAAAACATTCACATAAGATCCAAAGAAATCCAAAGAATATGCTATATTATTTATAGCTCATATATCTAATATCCAGGTAGAGGAAGTAATCACATAATTGATTCTTTTATTAAGAGATTCTTCTTGCTTGGATACAGGGCCGTCTAGAGCAATTATGAGGCCCTAGACGATCATATCGACATTTTGATTTAATATGTTTAATTTAATATAACAATATAAAAACTAGAATATCAAATGAAATAGAAGTGAATTATACATGAAATGCAACATATAATATTAACGTAAAGAGGTTATTCTTCGAAAGCAAAAGATCCAAAATTGATAAAAAAAAAATACATGGATTAAAACTAATATCCTATTCTTCTAGCTTTATAAAGACCATTTCTCATTACCATCATTGAAAGTGTCATTTTCATTTCCCATGTGTGCACTCATTTGTATCACCTACAATTGTGTCACTATTGTGACAACTTACATCCTCACACTCATTTACTTTAGCCTCAACATTTGTAGTCTCAATATTTGTATTTGAGGTAGAAGGTTAATATTTGAGGGAGAAAGTTTTGATATTGTGTTCTTATCCATAGAGCCGGCAAGCAGATTTATGATCACGCCCTTTCTTAATTTGTTCTTTCTCTTTGTACTTCTCAAGTCATGTTTTCGTTTTTCCGTCATCATAAATCTACAACTTTATACAATTTCTAACTAGCTAAAGTTTTTCTAACTTTCAATATTCAATAATACAAATAAAATTGTACAAATATACAGTAAGTTTTAATGACTAAAATACTAAATTGAATTATTATTACCATGTATTTAGTTTATAGTAATAGAATCAATCATACAATCAATACTTAATAACCTAGGCTCTATAGCCCCTAGTGCCTATAACCTGCCTAACCGACTAACTAGTAAAAAAATAGCAATTCAAGGTAAAAGATACTACGTAAACCAAACTCTATGATGGAAGGATTTGATCATTTGAAGCTGCTAGAAAGACACTTACGAGTTAAGACCTCAAGACCATCACGTACCTTTAGCCGGAGGCCCTGTGCAGACTGCTGATGTCTGGCCAGCGGCCACTGCGGTCTGTGCCGGCAGAATTGCAAAAGTGGCCGGCTATTGGCGATTGCCGGGATTTGCCGATTGCCAAGCAGCGAAGCAGAGAAATCGAAGGATCGAAGACTCCAAGTCGGGAAATGTGCCGTCAAGTCTTTGGCCGTTGCATCACTCATTAGAAGGTTTTTAAGTTTTTTAATGATTTATTTCATATATAATTATAAATTATAATAGGCTTACATTAAAAATTGGAGGCCTCTTAGAATTTGGGGGCCTTAGACAATTGTCTAGGCTGCATGCCCCCATGGCCGGCCCTGCTTGGATACAACTCCAATTTGACCAACGGTGACGCTTGTCTTATTATCCTCTCAATTGTTTAGAAGATTAATCAGTTTCTTGAGCTGCTCTCTAGATAAATCCATTATGATGTTTCGGCTGAATTATTGACCAGATTAACTACCTCGTTTTCAAGATTTTATTTTGCATTTCCTTTTCTTTCATCATATCATGTGGATCTAAATTTCTTCTAGCATTTGTCAATCATATGCCCAACTTTATAGTATTGTTTTGTTTGATCAACAATATCACATTCACATTTTGGATTACAAACAAAATTTGGTAAAGTTCTCATAATAGATATCTTTTCAAAAAGTTCTTTCAGTTGGGTATAATAATCACTTACGTTTAGTATTCCTAGTTCTAAAGTACTGATTTTTTCTTGTAAATAAAAAAATCTACAGACGCCAATGAATGAAAATCTTTACTCCAAATCAGACTAAAATTTCACCCGCCAAGTCTATCCAGAGAACACGTTGTGTGATAGATGGATAGACCAATCGTACTACCCAAGTAGTCACAATGTTATTTTATATTTCTCAGATTGGACACATGTCATCATCTTTTGCAAGTGGAGCGATTGTTCTGTCCACAAATTTGAACTTATTCTTCGAATTTGCCTTTCTCATGCCCTGCCTCCTTGACTTGTAATTAATAATTATTTCCCATTAAGATAGGTGGGACGAGAATTTGATTTGGATTTCCATTAGGTGAAGGAAGTAGGGGTTGGAAACCTCCTCTGTCATAGAGGATCTATTGACACTGGTTGTAGCCCCACCTGTGCTGACGGTAACAACTTTGGCGTAGGAACACATGACTCGAGGTGGAATGCTCTCATACCATTTTACAAATTTGAAGAAAGAGAAATTGTATATTTACTTCACAAAAATGTACTTACACTTTCTTATATAGTGATGTGTACTATTTAGTAGTAGTGCGTAAACACCACATTTTAGAATGGTTTTACATTATGTTTACTTAGCTTTTGTACAATTACGGTGTAATCTTTATCTTCTAAAATTAAAGTAGAATTAGAAGATATTAAGATATTTTGACATGTAAGCAAAAACATGATGAAAAGAAGAGGAAGGAGTTTGAGAGTATAAGGAAGGAGCATTGGAGACAAGAGGAAGCTTCATGGAGAACAAAGAAATGTGAAAAATCGGATATGATTTGACCCGGAGATCATAAGAGATGAAATAAAGCAAGTGAACATGGGAAAATCAGATTATGTCTTAGACCCTACCACCTCACTTCTCCTATAAAAACATCTCTTTCCTTCCTATTTTAGATACCAATTTAATCCCCTCTTTCATATACACTTTATTCTTGTAATTTAGGTAGTCTTTCCATCTTAGTTTTGCTACTTTGAAGCTTAATGAATTGTAAGTTGTGAGTTATTTTCTTTAATCTTCTTCCTTGAATATTAATTTTTTCCTTAATACTATCTCTATATTAATGTTGGGGAGTGTTACTAAGATGACAATTAGTTAACATCTCGACATTAGTTAGAGTAGTATTTATATCTTCTTTAATATTCTTCCTTGAATATTAATTAATTCCTATTCATATTTCATTTTAATATTTTGAGCATTACTTAAAGGATCAACTAGTTTTGTCTCATATATTAATTATTACTAGAATCGATCGACAAATACGCTTGTTAATCGTTCGATCTTTTCACGGTAGTAAACTTCGATTATTAATGCATGCGTCTCATGGTTAATAATCTAAGGAAGATTAATTATATTGATTAAATCAATTAATCGCTTGTGTTGAGGTTATCAATTTCAATCGTTTTCATCTTGAATTTATTGCTACTATCGAGTAAATATACGGCGCGTGTTCTATATTAATTCGGTAGTAAGTTTTATTAATGAACGCGTCTCGTTATTAATAACTACCCTCGATGAACTGGATATACTCCTCGATTAAGTATTCGAGAGGAAGATGGTTAAAGATATAACCGGGATCGACGGACATTTCATTAAGTGGATAAAAGCAAAACCAAGACTAATTACCTTTGATATTTTATTTCACTCATTTAATTATTTTATTTGCTTTCTTAATTATCAAAATATCCAATTCCCCCTTCCGTTTACTTTTATTTATTACGCTTACACATACGCGAAAAGCTCCTTTCCCTGTGGATACGAACTCTACTACGCTATACTACGGTATTAGCCCTTAGTAGTGAATTTAATTTGAGGCACACTACGACAAAGTGCTCGTCATATAGCTATATATTATGAATATGCAAACATATTAACCAAACTTTAATAACTAACTAATAACTCTAACAACTACTACCTCCGGTTTTTTTTAATCTTCACAGTTTGACTTCACACAAAATAAGGAAAGAAATTTGACTTTACTGTAGAGTACACTGTTGAGGCACTGTTTGACACTGTTTGGCACTGTAGAGACACTGTTTGGCACTATTGAGACACTATTTGGCACTGTTTTGATGTAGATTTCTTTGCCAAAAAAAGAAATAAGGAAGTGTGAAGTTTATTTTAGATCGTCCCAAAAAGGAAAGTGTGAAGTTTATTAAAAACCGGAGGGAGTATAAGTTATGTGGTGATGTGGCTATTGAGCTGATATGTCATTGCTTATTTGGTAATCTTGTAATAGCCTTCTCCCACTAAGGTAGGGGAGGGATCTCCATCTGCATCCCTCTCTTTTCCATTAACTCTTGTTTAGAAACTAGTTTTTACTATTGCATACTTCCACACACATAATAAAGGATTTAATGCTTGAAAAAGTTAATGTTGATATGTCCGAAAAAAAGGATTAACATATCAGTTTCTAAATTAAAGATCAACAACATGTTACGCTTTCTGATTTAACCCTCTGGAATTTGCAAAAGACAATAAAGGCCACCAAGCTGACAGAGCTTGAAGATGCCAAAAACCAATAATAGTTGTCCAAACGCGCCTCTCTCATGTCGTCAGAGAACCAGCTGCGATGCTCTCCCGCAGATCTCGAGCACGTCAAGTGCTCAATCAATGAGATAACTGCCGACCCGAGGAAGTTCCCCACACCAAATACACTTGTATTCAGAGCCACCCCAAAGGTCTTCATATTTTCCGGCACGGAGGAGTAGAAGAACTCCTGCATCCCCACCACCGTGAAAATGTCCGAAATACCCAGGAGAATGTACTGCGGAAGCAGCCAAAAGATGCTCATCGGCACCACATCGGACTCTTCGGGTGCTTGTAACCTACTGACGTGGAGCCTCTTCTTCTCTGTCAACGCCGCGGTCACCATCGCAACGACGGAGAGGAACATCCCGATGCCCATTCTCTGCCTCACTGTCACGCCCTTCTCATTGCGCGTGAAGGCGCGTATGCAGGGTATGAAGATCTTGTCGTACACTGGCATGAGTAGGATGACGGAGACTGCGATTGCGCTCTGGAGGGCGGCTGGCGGGACCTTGATTTTGGATCCAATGTTTCTCTCCATTGTCATGCCTTGTCGGGTGAAGAAAGTCGTCGGCTGCTGGAAAATGACGGCGAACATCAGGAGCGTCATCCATGTTGGCAACAAACAGACGACTACCTTGGCAAGGTGTAATGGATTGATTTTGTCACTGTCCTGTTTCTTTCCGCCATTGGAATTTGGAGAGTGTAGTGGGTTCTGGATCTGATCGCGAAGTCTGTCAACAAAATATACAAATATGGATTCATCATTAAAACTGAATTACACACACGGAACAAAAGGGAAAGTTTTCAATTTTAAAGGACGTTTTAAAATTTGAAGATAAGGGTAGTGCCTTTTTAGGGAAACTTTTCTTGTACATGTCGGTATAGGGTTGGGCACGGGCCGGGTCGGGTAATGCAAAATAAAATGGAACCGTTGGTTTCATTGTACGAGTCGGTCCGTTCCGAGTAATTTTGAAAATAGGAACCAGACCTTACCCGGCCCGTTTGGAACGGGTCAGTCCGGTCCGAGTTTTTCGGTTCTAATTTGTATTTCTTTAAAGTAGTAACAATTTACAAAGTTGTTAAGGTCTTAGCCATTTTGAATATGCTAAATGCTACTCATTCTGTAATTCTTAGTGTCTATATTTTTAAGTATTTAAAAGTTAAAACTGGCCAAATGGTTGTGTTGATTTACTCTCACCTAATTAATATATTTCCTTACTATACCTATAACAAAGTCATATTTTACGGTTAATAAAATAAAACCTACGCGTAACAAGAATAGCAATAAGTTCATGTTAGTTTGTGATTCTGTATAGCAGAGAAAATACAAACGATGCATTCCATGAAGAAAATACCAAGCGCTTACAAAATAGAAATTACATATATAACGGGCAACTCAATAAGGGCTAAGTTGCATTACCATAATGAGCTAAGTTGCCACTTCCCAAACGCTAAAAAATAGAAATCACATATATAACGAGCCGGCCGGGTACCCGGCAATTTTATATTTTGGAACCGGCCTGGACTGTAAAAAATTATTGGGTGCCCCTACCCGGACCGTTTTGTAGTATAAAAAATGGAACCGGACTGTTTTGTAGTAAAAAATTATTAGGTGCCCCTACCCGAACCGCCATTACCCGGACCGGACCGCGGTTCCATACCCGTTTGCCCACCCCTATGTCGGTGTGTATATGCGCCCGTTTTTTGTCGTATAAAGACAATTTTTTAGTTGTGTGACGTGTAGCGATAGTGACACTAATTAAATGATACTCAGGTATAAAAATCTGACAATAATATAAAAATTTGACAGCAAAATCAAGTTTTTCAAATTTATTACCTTAGCTTGTTATTATTGACATTTTTTGAATGTGCAAGAGTAACCACTTTTTAAATTCTATTGAAAGAATATCATAAAAAAATCTATTGAAAGAATAAGCTTAAATATAATCACATATTAGGACAAGTTTTATTAATTCTACAGTTATAACATAAATATAAAAAAGACATATATCATATTACATCATGAGCCTGTTTGGTAGCACGAAAATTGGCTGATTTGGCTGATTCTGCTGAAGTTTATGAAGTTCTGGCTGAAGTGGCTGCATTGGCTGATTCTGCTGATTTAAGAAAAAATTATTTTTAAAATATATTTTATTAATAAAATAAAGAAACAATTATATTTAAAAATAGTTGAAATGATAATCTACAGTAACTTAGCCAATACAACAAAAAAGTAAGCACAACCTTACTTTTTCTGCTTATTACAGAATTCAGTGCGCGAAAACAAAAGTTACGTGTTTGGTTAAAAAGTTGACTGATAAACCTTATAAGCCGAAAAACAGTGTCACCAAATGAGTTCCATATTGGAGAAAACTAGATCGAATCAGACCAAGTTTAAAAAGGGGAAAATTCTGATTTCTGAAGTACTACGTAAAGATTGCCAATTTAAAACATTGTAAATCTCGAAGAGCCTATTTGGTGATCCTTTTTTCGGCTTATCAGGCTTATCAACCAGTTTTTCACTATACACGTAACTTTTGATTTTGCCCATTGAATTGTATTATAATAAGAAAAACTAAAGTTGAAGTTACTTTTCTCACAGTATTGAATGAAAGTTACAATAGAAGATCATTTTAATTATTTTTCATATAATTTTTTATTGGAAAAATTGAAAATAATAATCCCAACTATTGTCGGTCCGCTGACAATAATCCCAACTATTGATTATTTTTGTATAATCCCAATTATATGGATCGTCCCTAATAGAGATTACTTGCTATATCTTTTCTCATTTACTTTAGAAACTACATGAATTTCTTTATAGGGACCATTATTGGCGGGACGTACCTAAAGTTGGGATTATTCTGAAACAATCGATAGTTGGAATTATTATAAGCGGACAACCAATAATTGGGATTATTATTATTATTATCAATTTTTCTTTTTTATTTTATTTATTTATTTATTTATTTATTACTAAAAAATATCTTAAATATAACTTTTTCATAAATGAGCAGAATCAGCCAAGAGAGCCGGTTCAGTTACATTTTCATACATTTCAACATAGGTGACAACTCCGGTACCCATTTAAAAAATGAGGTACCGTACCTATCATGCATTTGATTGGTCCAAATCATTAAATCTCTTTTAATTTAGATTTAAATAATTCAACTGCATGATTCTGATTGATTCATGTGGACAAAGGTACGGTACCTTATGGGTACCATAGAATCTACCTTCAACGTAACCCACCAATTCACCAATTTGGGGAGAGAGCAGAGTACTTACTCAACGATGACGTCAGATTTGTCCACCGGCACTGAACTTTCACTGCGACTCTTCAAACTTGAAGCGATGGTCTGAATCAGGCTGGGCTCTTTGGTTTTCTTGACTCTGTAAAACCGGGTCCCACAGAAGAACAATGTCAAGGATGCCACCATTGCAATGGCGGGAATGGCAAATCCCAGGCCCCACCCGACCGTGTCCTGAATGTAGGACATGCCCACGATTCCCACTAGGCATCCGCAACAGACGCCGAAGTACCAGCGCTGGAAGAACGTGCTCCGGCGGTCGGAGTTCGACTCCTGGCCGTCGCCGTCGGTGCCCAGAGGCGGAAAATCGTGTTCCTCTTCTTCAAGTTGGTCGGCTCCGAAGGCCTGTAAAGAAGCGTTGAAAACGCCGAGGCCGAGGGAGATCAAAGCTAGAGACCACCCTAAGAGAGAGGAGCTAGCACTATGAGTCGTTCTTCTCCATGGCCAACTTAATGTCCTTGATGTCAAAGCAAACAGCCCCTAATCAATCAAAACAAGGGTACATTTTGTCATTTAGGTCTATTGTAGTCTGGAGTAATGATAACTTAATTGGGAAAAGGGGCAAATAAGGTCACGTACTAATAAAAAAAGGTTAAATAAGACCTTATTTAGGAGGCTCTGTCCAGTCGTCGCCATTTGGGATGGTTCCCGGTGGAATTTTTTGATGAATTTTTTTTGAGCATCTTATTCATTAAGTCTGGTTTACTCATACCAAATTTCAACTAACAATTCAATCGGGAAGTGATTCAAATGAATTCTGGAACATAATTGCGCTTTTAAATGTGCAGTTATCTTCAAGAATTCATTTGAATGTCTTCCCGATTGAAGTTTTAGCTGAAATTTGGTATGAGTAAATCAGACTTAATGAATAAGATGCTCAAAAAATTTCATAAAAAAATTCCAATTTAGGGAAAAGTATGGAAAAACACTTGTGGTTGGGCCCGCTTTCAGATAGGGTCATGTGTAAGTCTTTATGAAAGTGGTTTATGTGTTTGAATTCCGTTACCATAAGAGGGTCACACCATTAAAAACGTCTGAAAAAGACTGTTAAAAGTAAATCCGATTTTCAAAAGTGCCCGGAAAATTAAAAGAAAAATACCGGAAGGTGCGCCTCAATAAGAAGACCGCTAGGCCATCTTTCTTTGTTTTCAGCCACCTTTGTCACCGGAAAGTCCACTGGAAAAGTAATATTAGTGAAATCATTTTTAAAAATTAATTAAAACATATCTGAAAAATCCAAAAGCAAAGGTGGTTTCAAGGTCATCTTGATGAGGCGCACCTTTCAGTATTTTTTTTAATTTTCTGAACACTTTTGAAAATCGGAGTTACTTTTAACGGTCTTTTTCAGATGTTTTTAACGGTGTGGCCCTCTTGTGATAACGGAATTCAAACACATGAACCACTTTGATAAAGAATGAAACACATGACTCTATTTGAAAACCGGTCCAACCACAAGTACCTTTTCCGTACTTTTTCCTACAATTTATTCTTACTTTATTAACACTTTATCAATTCAATATTAACCACACAATTTCATTTTTTTAAAACCGCACCACGTACATTTTTATATCTCAATCTTAGGGGACGAAAATAGTACGTAGTACTACATATAGTGTTAATATGGTGGAGTGTTAATGGCTTAATGTTGAGTGATAATGATATGACAATAAGGTGGAGTGTTAATATGATTGTAAATAAATTTTACAATGGTAATTACGGTAAAGAAAAGATGTCATTAACCAAGTATGGTTTGAGCGTACTGCGTACATTGCTATAATGCTATGAACTAGTCATCAACTCGATCATCAAGGTTATGATAATGTTTGAAGTGACGAATAAAATGACAATGTAATTAATAATATGGGGAAAAAACGGAAACATATTTTGTGCATCCCTATTCCTGCCTATGTATAATGCAATTCATCTACATAATGTAAAACATTTGGAAGTTGTCTGTATATAGGCAAGGTGTATGAAAAGTAGTGTAGACCTAGAATTACCTTAAAAGTTGTAGTAGCAATAATTTCATTCCTTTAAACACTTTTTAGTTTAGTTGAATGCATTGCATTATAACAGTCACAATGTTGCTATGCAAAAACAATGCCAAAATTCATCACACCTTTTAAAAAAGAGATAATTATCCTAGGTATGACCAAGACTTCTTCACTTTCTCAATCTATGACCTAACTAGTTTTTTTACCAAACTAATACCAAAATTGATTATTTTCAATTAAAATTCGTAATAAATAAATATATAAATAATTTTGATTGACAAATATACCCTTTAGATTATATCTATAAAACCTTAAGTTCCTATTTTTTTTCAACCCTAGCATTCAGTCTTCCGCCTCCACAGATCTACCATGCTCCTGCGCCCCGCTGCAGACCGTCTGCTGTCACCAGCCACCCGTCGCCCACCCCTACCGCCGCTGTTCCACGCTTCGCTGCCATCTAGGAGCACAATCGCTTGCTCGCAGTCCCAGTCCAACCTAGCCCCAGGCTTGCTCGCAGCAGCCACTGCCTAGATCGACATCAGCGCCACGCTGCCGTCTGGCCCATCCCTGGATATGTGTGCCGCCGCCGCCGTCCGGAGCCATGCTCGCCGATGCCTTCAGGGATGGACCATCAATGACTCTACCGACTGCCGAAGAGGAAGGCTAGTCTGGGTAAAGTCTAACTTGTGGACGAAAATGTCTTTGTCCTCTCCTCTGTTTAATCTGAAACGAAGGCCTTGCCATTCTCTTTTATGTGGCGTAGGATATTACACGATTTCTCTTTAGGACCATGACATCACATGGGTTTTTGTTAATCGGCAGTGCTAGCATTTAATTTCTTTAAACTTTTTAGTTCTTTTTTTGTATTTGTGAAATTAGGGCTTATGGGTATTGATTATGGTTTGTGGGCATTAAATATGGGCATTGAACATCGACAGTGAAGATTTCAATAAGTGTTGTGTGTGGGCAGTGAATATATATGGTAATAGACATGTTTTACATGGCAGTGAATGAATGCATTAAAAAAATTGTGGAGTGATTACGACCATTATTTTAGTAACACAAAGCACTAATATCATCATGAAATGCAATATAATTAATTAGACGTAAAATAATAAAATTATTTAATCTAAAAAGAATAAAATATAAAAAATAAATTCATCAAGTGAATGAGAAGAAAATTAATTTTGGCGGAAGTGCAGTGATTATTACCGGATGTGCATTAAAGTCATGCATTAATTTTGTGCATTAACGGCAATATAAAGTGCAGTAATTTTAATTGGAAGAAATTAGTGCAAAATGCACATATTTTAAATAAGGGTATAAAAAATTGTCATTCAACATTTAAATATAAACAAATTTTCTATTTATTTTTAGATTTTTGGTCATACAAAGGTATAAAAACTAGTTAGGTCATAGATTGAGAAACTCATTGAGTTTTAGTCATATCCCGGTAAATTTCCCTTTAAAAACACACTTTTCCATCACAAAATCTCTTGAAATGCTAACTGTTTAGGAAAACCGGATTATCAATTCTTCTTAATTACGAAAATGGCCATAAAAGTAGAGTTTGAAGTTTCTGACACTCTTTTGAGTTTCCGAAACAAGGAAACGTGAGCCGCACAACGAGTTTCTGTGCATAATAGCATATAACTAATAAATATAGAAGCTTTGTGGAAGTAATCTATTCCAGCTAATTAAGACTAATAACAAACAATGCATTTAAAAAAACTAACAGACAATCACATATATATACACGTTAGAGAAGCTTTTTTTGAAGAGTATACGTTAGAGAAGCTAAGAAATAATACACCACACTTAATTGTTCTTCTAGCTAGCTCATCTACATATTTATTTCGTGACAAACTCTTAATTATAAACCTGTAATATATTATAAAGTTTTTATATGCAGCTAGCTCATCTATAGAACCGAACTCATACGCCACGTCCGGTTGATATGATAAAAATATGACGTTCATCCAAAAAACAAAAGATAAAAATATGACAATATTTTTTAACGACTATAATTGTGTTTTTTTTCAAAAAACGACTAAATTGTGTTTAAAGTTACTATAATATACTCCCTCCATCCTATAGACAAGTTCCCATTGCTATTTACGAGGTTTGACTGACGAAAAAACAACTCAATCCCTACTCACATTCAGATTATTTTTAGTAAATAAAATTTACATATTCAAAAACTTCATTAAAACCGCTATAAAGCTTGATCGAGAAAATTTAAGTTTGATAAAATTTTGATATATAAAGTAAAAGATTAAACATGATTTAAGTTGACCACTAGAATAGTGAATGAGAACTTGTTTATGGGACGGAGGTAGTAGTTATTATGATGTAAACTTTGAATACAATTATAACTACTAAAAAATTACCATGTCACATTTTTATCCATGATTTTTTAAAATAATATTTTAGGAAAAATCTCTTATTATTTGGCAAAAATGGCACTTTTTTTCTTTCAAGCAAATCAGCAAGTTGATGGTTACTGAAACTTATTATTGTTTTTTTTGTTGATATATAAAAACAAATAAAGCAAAATGACTGAGCAATTTCAATCAATCAATTAATTAATTAATTAATGAAGCAAGATGAATATACATTACAAAAAAAATACAAGATTGGAACGGAATTTGACACGAATATACCGATTTTTCGTGTCAAATAGTTCGTGCCAAAGTGTTTTTTTGGCACGGATTTGGTATATCCGTGTCAATCCCATGTGTTTTTTGTAGTGATATATGGTGAGGAACATACGAGAAGATAGGGAAGAGATGAGAGAGAGATGGCGGTGTAGCGGTCCAGGAAAGAGTCAGCGAGAGGGGCGACGAGGAGCGGGACCATGGAGGTGAAGCCGCACCAGTTGTTGACCATCTTTGCCGCCGACGAGTTGCTCATCTTCACCACATCCGTCAAGTACGTCATCATGTTCGACGCCACCCCTTTGAATGTGAATCTCTCCATTCCGGCCACCACTATTCAATAAAAATTCAAGACAAAATTCAATCAATTAGCACAAGAAAATTAAATGGAGAATTCTCTAAATAGATATAAAAAAGTTTTGAAATTCCAAAATAGGACTGTCATATTTTTATTTTCTAAATGAAAATAATTTCTGTCAAGTTTGGCATTATCTGGATTTAAACATGCATACGGTTTCCGCCAAGTTTTTAATCCTATTTAGGAAATAAAAACATGGAAGTCCTAATTTTGGAATTTTAAAACGGTTTTACTCATATTCAGGGCAATTTCTAAATATTAAAAGAAAGAAAACCCGTAAATTAAATAATACTTTTCTTATTAATTCGGACACATTAGAATCACCGTCGGGCCGACTCCATTCGAAGTGTGTTCGGGTGGAACTTTTTTATGACATTTTTTTAGCATATTTTTCATGAGGCCTAAATTATATCAATAAAATTCCGGTTTAAAATTTTATTAAGAAGTCAGTTAAATAGATAATTTAAAAGCACTGTGATTTCTTTATATAGATAGTATTTAGTAGTGTAGTGTTTTTCAATAGTTTGTGTAGTTTGTGTAGCTGACTTTTCGATTGTGTTTTAATTTGAAATTGTGTAGATGTAATCTAAACTTCATGAAGAACATTCTCACAAAGTTTAAAAAAAAAATTCATCCAAAATCATCTCAAATGAAGCATCTCAAATGAAGGTGGTCGGACGGTGGTTATGAGAAAAGTTCTCTACAGGTTATATATATACGGAGAATTTAATTAATTTGCAGCATACCGATGAGGAGAATACACGACTTTGGCAATCCCCGTCCCCCAGCCATGGAATAACATGCAAGAGTAGAATTACTCTGATCTCTGATCTGTTGAAGAAACTACACAAAAGAAACTACATAATTTATTAAGTAACAGGCAGCAGATATATATGAATGAGAAAACATGCTATACTCCATCTGATATTAACAATTTGATGATTGCTTTGTTTTTTGTTTTAAAGTGAAAGAAGGAAGTTACGTACGTTAAAGCAAATTAAGAAAGCAGACGCAACATGGGAAATAATTAAGGATCGAAGAAGCAAAGTGCGCCTGGCGGGGCAGGAGTTTCATGGATCCGTTCGTTACTCACACTCCACAAACTAATTATAGAAGCTAATTAAGTGTACAAAATTAATTGAGTTGCTTTAATTAATTAGATTACACAAATCAGACATCTTAGCCTTTATATGTGCGTGTTTTGTCGCATAGTTTGGTCAGTGATGAAATGATGTGTGTGTTTTTATCATGAAGGGATGCTTTTTGTACGTAAAGGCAGGGCTAGTTAGTAGAGATGGGGTGATTGATCCCTCATTTGGAAAAAGGGCACTCAAAAAGCAAATCAAGATGGCTGCTCTGCTACATGTCCTTCACTACATGCACTAGTGCACTACATATGATTAACCAACCAAAAGCATGACACCACATTCCTCACCAAGGCTGAGGACGGGTTCGAAACCTTTTTACGGGACGGAGGGAGTATAAGATTTAGGTTACTCCTCCTATCAAGCTAACATCTTAGGATGAAGTTCGGATTTTAACATGGTATGAGAGCCAAGTGTTGGAAAACAATAAAAGGGGCCTAATATGTAATTAATTAAAATGTGTTTACCATCAGATAAATAATACAGTGGCTATTCATGAAATAATAAAAGTGTAGATACCAGGATAATATATTTCTTTTGGTGACGAGTCAAATTAAATATATTATACTAAAGTGATACAACGGTTATGACCCCCGGTGCGTGTAAACTAAGAGATAACAGTAAATATATTGTAACGGAAAATGGCCTAATAAAGTATTCTAAATAATATCATTATTGTAATAATAATAAAGGAGTTATTAGAATACTAAGGGCCAACCGTTACAATATTCCACTAGTCCTATATATATCCCATCAATAGGTAGGACTAGGACAATCAACATCTCATATACGTTGCTACACAGTACTGGAAGGTTAGGCCGATCAATCGTGTTTAGATTCCTGTGTCTTCTTAAAGTGTTAATGCAAATGAATTCTCGAGGTACGGTTCTTATCTTAGTTCATACATATTTGATTTCATGGATTTATATGGATTTAGCTATTATATATTTATATATATATTGCATACGGAGTTTTGTTGATATATATATGAATATCGAACAATTGGTATCAGAGACAACCATTATAGATCCATCGAATTCATCATCCTTGATATTCATTTGAGTTGTTCGTGATGTCTGGGTTCTGTTTTGTGACATCCGAATTAAGTATGTTCATTCTTTATTCTTAAAATATGTTTATTCGGAATTTGGAATGAATCGACTCATGTGCGTGTAATTATTGATTGAGTAATGATTTGTGAAGAGTTTTTCCGCTGCATGTATGTTTATACTCATGTGATCATGTCTCAAGTTTTAACCGATTATTCAATGCATTTCTCTTAATCGCATGACTTAGTTTTTCATAGGGTTGTAAACGAATCGAATAATTTTGATCCGATTCGTGATTCGAATTCGAAATTGATGATTCGAATTCGAAAAAATCGAATACGAATACGAATACGAATCGGTTTTGTTATTCGTATAAAATTCGAATACGAATACGAATATACATATATTCGATTCGTATGTTATACAAATATATTCGATTTGTATATACATGAATTATATTTTAGATTATTATATTTATATTTATAATTTATAATAATTTAAATTAAAATAACTAAAATAGTTTTTTGTTAGTTTAAATTTAAATTTAAATTTATTACTTTAATTAATTTTGTGCTTTCATTAATAATTTTTTTAAGTAATTGATTTTTTGATTAATTGATTTTACAATGTTTACTTTATTTTGAACGGGTTTCCAATTGATTTTTGAAGTAGTTGATTTTTTAAAATAGTTCAGTTAATAGAAATATTTGCAAAAATTAAATCGAAGAAAATACATACAAAACATGATAATTTGAATGTGTGAAAAAATTTCCCCTACAAATATTCGAATTCGAATTTTCGAATATAAATATATTCGAATGTCATTAACGAATCGAATATGAATCTAATTTAAGATTCGAATAATATCCGAATACGAATACGAATATTCGTCAAGTTATACGAATATGAATAGTATTACTCAGTATTCGATTCGATTCGATTCGTTTACAACCCTAGTTTTTCATCGGTTCAAACTTTGTCCATGCCTTCAAATAAATATAATAATTTAATATAATTGTGGTGTTGAGTCTCAAGTTTTACGTTATGCATATATACTGTGCTATGGAATATTAAAGAATTCTTTTCTTCCACGTAGTGGAACTTTAAGCATTATGGCAACCGTTACTTATATGCCATTTAACTGTTACAGTGTAATTGTGAATCAAGTCATAATTTAAAAAAAAAAAGGCATATAAATGACATGCTGTAGCTATATTGAATTATGTGCCCGAATAGCAATTTGTCTTTTGCTTTCATTATCTATGTACACGTAGTATCAAGCTTTTTCAACATTGAATTGCTAGAAATATGTTGATGTTAAAGTTGATTACTCTCATGATATTTCTATAATCAAATTTGGTGAATTCAATTACCGATGGTCAAAATATGTATACTTCAATAAAATTTGATTGGCGTAAGCCAAATTTTTAAGTAGTATTACGGTAAGATTTTTTCGGGCTGTGACGGAATTGTAAAATAAAAGGAAGATTAATATTTAAAATGGGTATATAGAAACAATATGTCACCAAAGTGATTCTATTGTGTAAGTTGCTCATATAAAATATTAAACATAGTATATATAGTTCAAATAAATATTAATCGGCCCAAAGGAAGATTAATATTTTATCAAGTTATATATATACATTTTGGTAATAATAAATATATAACAATTATAAGGTTGCACTTTAAAAGAAAAAGTCAACCCAAAGGTGGATTTTTCTTTTATATGTATTATTGTTATATTTTATTATTACAACAAGAGTATCACTAGCAATTAGTATTATTGTCCAAAGATGAAATACTAATGGTGCATTTGGTATCTTGTGATGGGTTAAAAATTATTTTACAATTTCACTAAAATATATGTTCATTGTCCTTGTTCTTTCTACAGTTAATATTTCGGGCATTTCTGCCAATCTCAACTCCATCCCTGTCCTAAATGGTACTAACTTTAAGGAATGGAAAGAAAATATTCTAATAACTTTGGGCTGCATGGATCATGACTTAGCATTAAGGGTAGAGCAACCTGCTTCTCTTACGGATGGTAGTACCCAAGATGAAAAAAGGTACTATGAGAAGTGGGATCGCTCGAATCGCTTAAGTCTTATGATCATAAAGCGTGGCATTCCAGAATCTTTTAGAGGTGCTGTATCCGATGAGGTTACTAATGCCAAGGATTTCCTTTCTGAAATTGAGAAACGTTTTGTTAAAAGCGATAAGGCGGAAATAAGCATGTTGTTAAAAGACTTTACTTCCAAAAGGTATTCAGGAAAAGGAAATATAAGGGAGTATATTATGGAAATGTCTTATATTGTTTCTAGGCTCAAGACACTTAAGATTGAGATATCGGAAGATGTTCTTGTACACATAGTCTTGAACTCTCGTCCTATTGCATTTGATTCTTTTAAGGTCAGTTATAACTGCCAAAAAAGAGAAGTGGTCTCTTAATGAGCTCATTTCATATTGCGTGCAAGAGGAAGAGAGGATGAAACAAAATAAGATAGAAAGTGCTCACTTGGCTAGTACCTCTAAGGATAAGGGTAAAAAGAGGAAGAGAACTCCCATTAAGAATGAAGCTGCTCAAGGTCCACTACAGAAGAAACATAAGGAAGGTGAAACAACCTGTTTCTTCTGTAAGAAGTCTGGACACATGAAGAAGGATTGTACCAAGTATCACGCATGGAAAGTGAAGAAAGGTACGGTCCTTGCCTTGGTTTGTACTGAAAACAATTTGGCTTCAGTGCCTAGAAATACTTGGTGGTTAGACTCCGGTTCAACATCTAACATCAGTATTTCTATGCAGGGTTGTCTGAGCCTCCGCAAGCCAAATGATGCTGAAAGATGCGTCTATGTGGGAGATGGCAAAGCGGTGCATGTGGAGGCTATTGGGCATTTTAGATTGTTATTATCTACTGGTTTCTATTTGGATTTAAAAGACACTTTTATTGTTCCGTCATTTAGGCGGAATTTGGTTTCTGTTTCTTATTTGGACAAATTAGGTTATCATTGTTCCTTTGGAAACTTCCGGTTTAATTTGTCTTTAAATTCAAATATTGTGGGGACTGGTTCTTTTATGTCATATGACAATCTTTACATGCTTGAAACAATAACTTCATATAACAATGCTTTGAATGTTGACACCCGAGGCACTAAGCGAAAGGCTGATAATGCACAATCTGGGTTTTTATGGCACAAACGATTAGGTCACATCTCTAAAAATAGAGTTGAACGTCTTGTGTCCGATGGAACACTTAATTCCATTGATTTTTCTGATTTCAATACTTGTATTGAGTGCATTAAAGGGAAACAAACCAAAAATAAGAAAAAAGGTGCATATAGAGCTACGGATGTCTTAGAATTAATACACACGGATATTTGTGGGCCATTTCCTACTCCTTCATGGAATGGTCAACAATATTTTGTGTCATTCATAGACGATTACTCTAGATATGCATACTTATTTCTTATACATGAAAAATCTCAAGTCTTGGACGTGTTTAAATCTTACAAAGCGGAAGTTGAGAATCAACTCAACAAACGCATAAAGAAAGTCAAATCCGACCGTGGTGGTGAATACTATGGGAGGTATGACGGCTCAGGTGAACAACGTCCAGGGCCTTTTGCCAAATTTCTAGAGGAATGTGGAATTGTCCCTCAATACACCATGCCGGGTTCACCTAGCATGAATGGTGTAGCTGAGAGGCGTAATAGAACCCTTAAAGAAATGGTAAGAAGTATGATTTCTCATTCTATCTTACCGGAATCCCTCTGGGGTGAGGCATTAAAGACCGCAGCTTACATTCTTAATCGAGTGCCAACTAAAGCAACTACTAAAACACCTTATGAGCTTTGGACGGGTAAAAAGCCTAGTTTAAAGCATTTTCATATTTGGGGTTGTCCAGCTGAGGCAAAGCCGTATAGGCCACATGAAAAGAAACTAGAACCCAAAACAGTTAGTAGTTACTTTATTGGTTACTCGGAGCGATCTAGGGGATATAAATTTTATAATCCCGAGGATAAAAATATTTTTGAGACGGGAACTGCCATATTTTTCGAGGATGTTGAGTTTGGGGGGAAGAATAAAGTTAGGGATATTGTCTTTGAGGAAGAATTGATTTCAATACCTGAACCAATTCATACGGATGTTTCTTTTGAAACTAATGAGG